CCAATTTTAAAGCATGGTGGTCTGATAAGATACAGGGGACTATTCCTATTCTCTTGTATCTGTTGAGGTTTGTTATGCCACCTAGTATGTGGTCGATTTTAGAGAAGGTTCCATGTGGAGCAGAGAAGAAGGTATATTCTTTTGTGTTTGGATGGAATTTTCTATAGATGTCTGTTACACCCAGTTGATACATAACTCCTGTTAGTTCTTTTCTTTGTTGAGTTTCTGATTGGTGGTCCTGTCCAGTGGTGAGAGTGGTGTGTTGAAGTCTCCCATATAAGTGTGTGAGGTTTTATGTGAGGTTTGAGTTTTAGTAGCATTTCTTTTATGAATGTGGGTGCCTTTGTATTTGGGGCATAGATGTTCAGAACTGAGACTTTGTGTTGATGGATTTCTCCTGCGATGAATACAAAATGACTGTCTTCATCTCTTTAGATTAATTTTGGTTTGAAGTCTAACTTGTTAGATATTAGGATAGCCACACCTGCTTGCTTCTTGGGCCCATTTGATTGGAAGATCTTTTCCCAACCCTTTACACTGAGGTAATGTCTATCTTTGAAGCTTAGATGTGTTTCTTCTATGCAGCAGGAGGATGGATTATGTCTTCGTATCCATTCTGTTAGCCTGTGTCTTTTTATAGGTGAGTTAAGACCATTAATGTTGAGGATGAGTAAGGACCATTGATTGTTATTGCTTGTTTTAGATTTGTTGTTGGCAGTGGTATTATGAATATATTTGTCCTGCTTTACCCTTGGTTTCTGGTGTAATGAGATTATCTGTTGCCTTTGTCTTTGTGGGCGTAGTTAACTTTCTTGGGTTGGAGTTTTCCTTCCAAATCTTTCTGTAGGGCTGGATTTGTAGATACATATTGGGAAAATCATATTGGGTTTTGTCATTAAATATCTTGTTGTCTTCATCTGTAGTGATTGAGAGTTTTGCTGGGTATAGTAGCCTGGGCTGGCATCCATGGACTCTTAGTACTTGTAGAACATCTATTCAGGACCTTCTGGCCTTGAGAGTTTCCATGGAGAAGTCAGGTGTGATTTTGATAGGTCTGCCTTTATATGTTACCTGGCTTTTTTCCTTCGCTGCTCTTAATATTCTTTCTTTATTCTGTATGCTAGGTGTTTTGATTATTATGTGTCAAGGGGTCTTTTTTCTTTGGTCCAGTCTATTTGGGTTTCAGTATGCTTCTTGTACCTTCATGGGCATGTCCTTCTTCAGATTGGGAAAGTTTTCCTCGATGATTTTGTTGAATATGTTTTCGGCAGCTTTGAGCTGGGCTTCCTCACCTTCCTCTATGCCTATTATTCTTAGGTTTGGCCTTTTCACAGTGTCCCACATTTCCTGAATGTTTTGTGTTAAGGATTTGTTGGATTTATGTTTTTCTTTGGTTGATGAATCTATTTCTTCTAGTTTATCTTCTGCGCCTGAAATTCTCTCTTCCATCTCTTGAATTCTGTTGGTTATGCTTGTGTCTGTAGTTGCCGATTTTTTGCCCAGTTTTTCTATTTCCAGCATTCTTTCGGTTTGTGTTGTCTTTATTTTCTCTATTTCAGTTTTCAAGTCTTGAACCGTTTCCTTCACCTGCTTAATTGTTTTCTCTTGGCTTTCTGTACTTTCTTTACTTTCCTTAAGAAATTTGTTCACTTCTTACAATTTTTTGTTTTTTCTTTCATTTCTTTAAGGGATTTTTTTCTTTGAGGGCCTCTATCATTTTTATGACGGTAATTTTTAAGTCGTTCTCTTCTGCTTCCTCTAGATTCTGGTGGTGTCATGCTTGTCTTTCTTTTGTTAGGTGTTTTCTTGTATTGCCATCTTCCCATAGCTTCTTCCAGTAGGTGTTGGTGGGGTCTCTCCCACTCTGTATGGTCCTTCCCCGGTGGGCTTGGGTAGGTCAGAGGTTCGATGTCTGTAGCTCTGGGTGGTCCAAGCTCTCTAGGAGGTCTCTCCACAGGCAGGGTCCCGGTGATGGGGTCAGCGATCAGGCTCCAGCAGAAGACTGGCGATGGGGATGAAAGATCCCGAAGGCTGGGACTCAGGATGTTCTTTGTGCCTGTAGGCAGACCTAGCTGGGACCTGGCACCCTCCAGCTGAGGCCTCTTTAGCAGAGGCCCTGCAATGGGGGTCAAGGAACTCAGAGTGGTCCTGGGACTGCAGTAGAGGACTGGCAATGGGGCTATATTTAAAACTTTTTAACTATTGTTGGTGCTGCTCAATCTGCGGCCAACAGGTATTGGCACCCTTGGTCATCTGACTATGGCTCAGTTATGTGGAAGAATGTCACTATTGGAAAATGGTGGGGGCCGACTGATGGGAGATGTCATTCTGTAAATATGTTTCTCGTATTGGTTAATGAATAAAGCTCTGTTGGTCAATAGGAAAGCAAGACAGGCAGGACTAGGAGACAAGGAGGATTCTGGGAGATGTAGTAGGAGGGTCCAAATGTAGGACCAAGAGGAGTAATAGGTCCCTTTACGGTAAGCCAACACAACATGGAAACACTTAGATTAATCGAAATGGGTTAATATTTAAGACAGAGCTAGCCAATAAGAAATGCTAGTAACAGGCCAACAGCTTTATGTCTAATACAGTGTCTCTGTGTGTTATTTGGGGCTGATGCAGCCATGGGACCAGGCTGAAGGGAAAACTGCTCGTAACACTAACCCAGTTCTAGTGTGGGCCCGAGGGTCGGTTTGTGTCTTTCCACAAGATGCAGATAACCCTCCTTGTATGCCTGAGCATCTGGTTTGACATATGGGGAGGGACCGTGATTGTAGCAGCCATCGAGAAGGTCCCATGGGCCTTCATCAAGGATCCACCCATTCTGATGCCTGTGGGTCTGAGTAGCCCTGTGTGGCCCCTTTTTCCTGACCACTAACTATAGTTTGTGGAAAGCAGCTATAAAATTACACTTTGGTCCAAAGGATAAGAATTTCGCCTTCATTTCAGGCACCTGTTTTCTGGCTCCCTTCTTTTTCATTGTAACTAATGCTACTAATTTTGGAGGAAGTCTCAATTCTCAATTGGTCTGCCGGCTGGTTTTAGCTGCTGGACATATGAAGTAACAGCTGTCCTGGGCCACGCATCCCAGGTGATACCTATGCTGGAGACCTCTACAGATGACCAACTTGTGCAGCAGAGAGGAAAGGGGATTTCCGGATCCCGGCCGCCATTGCCGCCTCCGCCACAGCAGCAACAGTTTCAAGGATAGCCCTCTCCCAATCTGTAAATGCTGCAAGCAAGGTGGCTGAAGCCCTCACCAACCAAAACACACTCGATTATCTTGTACAAATTGGCATTTTAAAAACTAAATCTATAAACTAGCCTCCTATAGGAACGATTGGATTTATTGTGAGAGGTTCATGACTTCTTGTTCTCTCTTTCACACATATCTGTGTTATACCTGCTAAAACTAATACATCATTTGGAGTTACTTTTCTCCCGGGGTCCAGGAGTGATCAGTTTTTAAATTATACACATGCTTTAGCCATGCAGATCATTAACATCAATGAAACCCGAGTACCACCTGCCAGTGCAGAGTCTAAAGAAGAAGATTTAGGCTTGATACAAAGCTATACACAATGATAGCAAATATCAAGCATGGAATGAACTACAGAAGAGGAAGCTGCTGCTGCAAAGGGCTTGAGGCCCATGGGTGCTCACACAGCCTTGGTCCTTAAAGCCTTAATCCCCACAGCCCGAGCGTTTGGAAGTCAGAGATTGGGGGCCGTGTTAATAGTTCTGGTGGGAGGCATTGAGCTCCAGGCTCTGCATGAGAGCCAGTTATGCACTGGGGTGGGGCCATCCCATTGGAGGGAGGTCTCGTCTGGGTTCCCTGGGAGATTAAGACAACGCCTCGGTCTGGGTGTGGGGTTGCATGTCTTTAATTCTCACAAGTGGCGGGGGAAGAAGGATGTCTGTTGTGGGCGCCCATAAAGATGGCTGCGCTCCATCTTGGCAGAAGGACAGAAACTTCAAAGCTGTCAGCAAGTCACAAGACCTAAAGGTCAAAGGTGTGGCTACAGATGGGTGTTTCAGCTGTCTTAGTCTAAATAAGAACAGATCTGAATCTGAGGTGTGGCTACTCCTGACCTCAAGGCTAGGGAACAAGAAGTTTGGAGCAAAGGTGTGGTTACTGAACCCTTAGAATAAGGGAGGAAGAAAAGTCTGTTTGTCCCATATACATGATACTGTGTCCCCTTTTTGGTTAAGGCATATAAGATTGGAGAAAAATAAACTCGTGGCATTCAGTATTGCCTGATCTGTCGTCCTGACCTTTATTCTGTCTCTCTGACTTTTCTTTATCGTCTATAGGTAGCCTTTCCCTCATCCACACTCCCCCACTCAGGTATGGACTCGGAGCCGCTAGGCTGGCTCCGATTGCAGCCCCGCAAAGACCGCTCCTGACGGTCTGTGAGTTCCAGGACAACTTGGTCTACATAGAGAGTTCCAGGCTAGTCAGGGATACAGTGAGATTCTGTCTCAAAAGTCAGTATCACAATATTAATGCCTCAAGCTGCTGAGGGTGACAGCTTGGCATGTGGCTCTGTCCCCTACTCCTGACATCTTAGGCTTTCCGGAGAATATATACTCAAAGCTATGTGTGTGTGCCTCAGGCCTCTCATCACAACTACTTGGAAGGCAGGAGGGCTGCAGGTTCAAGGTGGGATTGGACTAAGGAGTGAGAGCCTGTCTCAAAAAGTACAGGTTCTCCTATGTGGCTCCTTGACACAGCTCTGCCTAGAGTCCTCCCTGTGAGGGACTGGGGTGTGGCCCAGTTTATTCTTTGTTGTTTAGGATGAACCCCAGGGCCTTGCACGTGCTAGTCAAGTGCTCTACTACTGAGCTATACCCTACCCCCACTCCAGGACACTTTTTCTGATGTTGTCTTCTGGTCCCAGTGACTAGAACTTCTCATCCCAATCTGGATCAGCCCCCTCCTTGGATCTGCCCACCTCCATTGACAGATCCAGGCCCTCCCCACATCGGCTGCTCACCAGGAGTTCTGTGATGTCAGGGTCCTCTGGAGCCCAGGGTGTTGTAGGGGAGGCAGGTGGCCCTGGCAGTGCCAGCGGACCACTGTCCTCAGTGGTGGAGTCTGTGCCCGAGGAGTCGGGCTCCATAGCAGCCAGGTTGAGCAAGGACACGTTGGTGCAGGCCGAGGACCGCTTGAGGTTCAGGCACCAGTGCATCGGCTGGTGAGACATCCGGGGCTCCACCCTGCAGGTGACCCAGGAGATGATGGGGGTGGGGTGCCGGAGGGGCGGGCCTTATATCCTCAACGCTGCCCCTCACCCTGTTTCTTCACCGTCCTCACCCTGCTCGGCCTCCATCCACTGCCTCGCGTTCCCACCCCTCCCCCTCCCGATGCCCCCTGCAGCCCCCTGCCTCCCTCCCCTCGGCTGTAATGCCCTCCGCATTGCCCTCCTTTCCCTCCAGCACCCATGCTTTGCTGCTGGCAGTGTCGTGTGTGACAGGCACGGGGCCTGTGACCAGCGGGGTGCAGGAAACCCACCCATGGAAGGACACGGCCTTCTTTTTCTTCGTGATCCCCTTGATAGGGCTGGTCACCCCCCCCCGGAGCCTCGGGGACCAGCTGGGCGCGGCTCTCGACCCCCTCAGGTGGGTCTCCCGCCTCATGGATCTCTTTGGACTGCCAGATTGTCTTCACCACCACGCTTGCCATGGCGCGGGGGCCGCTCCCAGGGGGAGACTCACCATCTACTCTGCCCGCCCCCTGGCTCTCAGGGGCCCTCAGCTCCTGGCCTGGGTCACAAAGGGCATAACCACTGGGTCACGGGGAGGGGCGTGAGGGAGAACAGCTGCTGGCTCAGTGTCCCCTGCAGCCCTCAGTGGACCATCCCGGCCTTGGTTCTGGTTCTACAGCTCCGTCTTCTCAATCCAGGGCACACAGTGGCTGGGCCCTACCCTGCAGCGGGCTCTGGGACCCGGTCTCAGGTCATCTCTGTAGCTTCCTTCCCTCCCTCCCTGCTGCCTGAGACCCGAGAGACATTACAGGATCTTTCTAATCCTTGGGGGGGGGCACTCGGTGTTTTTTTTTGGCGGCCTGGGATGCTGAGTTGGGAAGAGAAACACCCAAACACAACGATGTCAGCTTGGGAAGTGCCATGGGGACAGTCCAGGGAAGTCACAGCCTATATCACTGTGTGTGTTTTACCTGTTAAAGAAGAAGCCAAGCCAGGCGGTGGTGGCCCACGCTTTGATCCCAGCACTCGTGAGGCAGAGGCAGGCAGATCTCTGTGAGCTTGAGGCCAGCCTGGTCTACAAAGAGAGTTCCAAAACACCCAGGGCTGTTACAGAGAGAAACCCTGTCTAGAAGAACAGAAACAAGCTAGGGGGCCTGAGAGATGCTCCACGGTGAAGAGCATTGGCTGTTCTTCTAGAAGCCCTGAGGTTCAATTCCCAGCCACACATGGTGGCTCAAAAAACGTCCATAGCTACAGTCCTACAGTATTTTAGGATCTGATGACCTGCTCTGGTCTCTAAGGCCACCAGGCACACAGGCAGTTCACAGACATACATGTAATCAAAACACTCACATACATGAACCAAAAATGATAAAATCAAAAAAAAAAAAAAAAAAAAAAAAAGCTGGGTGATTTTTAACCCCTGCACTCTGGAAGCAAAAGCAGGCTGACCTGAGTTTATTGAGTGAGTTCCAGGTCAGCTAGGGCCACACAGAGAAGCACTGTTTAGATAAAGTATAAAGCAAACCAAAAAAAAAAAAAAAAAAAGTTTAAGGTTGGCCTTGTCTGCACAGCAACCTGGGTCCTCTCTAAGGTGCATAAGATCAGGTCTCAAACAAAAACAAAAACAACTCCAGAATCAAAAATTGAGGTCAGGCTGGGTTATAAAAAAAGTTCAGGTCTGGCCTAGGCTTTGTAGGGAGCTCCAGCCTAGCATGGACTGTTAGACCCTGAGTCAAACAAAATAAAAACCTTAGATGTTCAGAGAGGCTGGCACTACAGCTCACTTGCCTCCTCAAGCTCTCATGCAGCTCTGGATTCCATCCCAGCAGTGGGAGATGGAGGCAGGAAGATGGGGAGTTTAGGGTCATCCCCAGGCCCATAGTTTGAAGCCAACTGATATAAAGACTTGGGATGATATCTGAGCAATCAGGGTTATCAAGTGTGTGGATGGTCCTCGTTACACCTCGTTACATTGTTGTTGCTTGAAACAGGGTTTCTCTGTGCAGCCCTGGCTGTCCTGGAACTCACTCTGTAGACCAGGTTGGCCTCAAACTCAGAGATCTGCCTACCTCTGTCTCCCGAGTGCTGGGATTAAAGTCATGTGACACCACTTGTTGTGATATATTATTTATGATTTATTCAAACTTGCCTGAGCATACAGAAAACAAAAAGTCACAAACTGTAGAGGTCAGGCAGTGATGACACACACCTTTAATCCCAGCAGACATACTAGCTAGCTATAGAAGCTGAGCTGTGGTGGCACACAGCTTTAATCCCAGGACTCAGGAGTGAGAGCTAGACAGATCTCTGTTATTTCAAGGCCACACTGACTACATGAAATTGATTGAATCCTAAAAGAATCAACGCACACAAAGGTGATCTCAGCACCTGGGATCATACGGCTTTAATTTCAGCACTAGGCAGGTGAAAACAGAAGTAATATGTCTGGGCAGGAACTGAGAGCTGTTGTCTCTGAGGTTCTGGAGACGGGATTGCCATTTCAGCTTGGTAGACGTAAGATCTACTGTCTTGGCTGCTTTGCGGTTCTGATCTTCAGCTTGAAGCTTGAACCTGGATATCTGTCTCTGGGTCTTTTGTTTGCATGTGATAACCACTGCCTGCCAACAATGGGGAATTGTTTGTTTGTTTTTTTTTTGATACAGAGTTTCTCTGTACCTTTCCCAGGCTATTTTGGAACTCACTCTGTAAATCAGGATGGCCTCAAACTCAGAGATCTGCCTGTCTGACTCACGCTGGGATTAAAGGCATGCCCCAACACTGCTCAGCTTCAGACCAAGGAATTTAACGGTGAACCAATTTCAGCATTGCATTTATAAGTTTAGAGAAGAACCGAAAGGATGAAGATGATGGCCTAACTCTCTAATGACCACTAAAAGTCAGAAATTTAGAAAAAATCCATCAGCACGTATCTAAACATCACCCTAGCTGCATGCAAAGCTCAGGGAAAAGAAAAACACACGAAATAGCTTGATCACGATGACTGGTTTCTGGATATTATTATTATTATCATTATTATTATTATTATTTATAATTACCTAGTTTCTGAAGAATGTTGTTATCCACAACAATAGTCTGGGCACTGTTGTGGGTCATCCTGTCCACAAAGAAAATTAATAACTAAAAGACGGGACTCATAGCAAAAAGGGAAAGACAGAAAACAAGAGCCTCTGCCAATAGATATAGATAACTCCCTGACAGGAAAGTACATTCTCCCAGCCACTCAAGAACAAGCCCACTGGTTCTTCAGAAAGAAACCTTGCAGGTGTGCTAAATCTCTGTAACCTAGGAAATCTTACTAACCATTCCAAGTTTTGAACTCTCCCATGACCTTGCTTTTAAGCCTAGTGAAAATAACAGGCTAGCTTTGAAACTGGCCTTGTTAGCTCTGATGTAAATCCTATAAAAGCTGTCTCAATTCTGCCCTCGAGGTCCTCAGTCCTCTACCCCTCTGTGGCGTGTGACTGTGGACCCCAGTGTACTTGTAATAGAAACTCGTCATGCTATTTGCATCAAGACCGCTTCTCATGAGTGATTTGGGGTGTCGTCTTTCCTGAGTGGGAGCGTGAAGGTCCACGCTCTGCGGGTCTTACAGAACAGCCTAAGATTTTCAAACAACCAACTTTAATTTATTCAGTCATGTTACAGGAACAACTCCCAAGTGGTAGACATCCCAAGGTTGTGCAAGAGTTAATGAACTCCCGTGGAAATGTTAGATTTAAGGAGATTCAAAGAAGGAATAGCCTCATAGGGTATGGATTGCATCCTTCTTTCGAGAAGAAGCAGATGTTAAATTCTTGGTCTGTTTGTAATAGAATTATCCCTCAACACTGAAAAGACTTGGCTATAGCATTTTTTTTATTTTTTTATTTATTTTATATAACAAAGTCCAATTAAATGAAAACAAACATTTATACACAATATTTGGGAATTTGGGCGTTGTTCTTTCCAAACTACTTCCTGCTGGCTATAGCATTTTTGAGTCTGTTTCTTAATTACAGTGGAGGACATGATGGAAAGATGTGGCTAAGACCACAGAACAATGAAGTAGGACTAGAAATATGGAAGTCTCCCAAGAGCAGTTTCTTGGAGAAGGAGATTATGCTACTGTAGAAAGGCAATTGCTATGTGATGACCACATCCTGGCTTTATGCCACAAAGCAGCTTTGAATGCTTGAGACAGAACTGGAGAAGTCAGAAAGAAAATTGAAACATTCACTAAAGTCTACAGGGCCCAAAGGAAATCTTCATGGATTTCTTACAAAGAGTGACTTCAGCAATAAATAGAATGATACCAAATTCAGAAACTAGGCAAATAATAATTGAATCTCTGGTTTTTGAAAATACTAATGAACAATGCAAAAGGGTAATTAGACCATTAAAGGTAAGATCAGCACCCTCGGAGGAATGGATCTGAGATACAATCAATATTAAATCTCATGATCATGATGATGCTTGGGAAACAGAGGTGAGCTCCAGAAGCTTGAAGGGAAATCGAAATGCGAAGTGTTTCAATTTTGGCAAACAATGTCACTTAAAAAGAATTGTAAACAGGGTATTCCTAAAAAGGATGTTTTTTCTAAGTGTAATTCAAACACAGCACCCCTACCTTCTGGATTTTTCAGAAGATGTGGCAAAGGGAATCATTGAACTAATGAATGTAGATCAATAAGAGACAGTCAAGGTAAAGCTTTGCCACTGGGAAATGCCTTGAGGGGCCTCTCACAGGCCCCCATGCCAAATTCAGTCTAGTCCTTTCCTGTCATCATGGAGGAAACTCCTTCCTAGAGCAATTAAAGAGCATAAAGCCAATTGTAAGAACCCACACTGCTCTGAATGATAGAACGGCTATAGAAGATAAAAAATTCAGGAGAAACCATAAAGCAAATATTTTGGTAAACTGCTATAAATGAACAAAGGCCAAAATTAAAAATACAAATAAGCCAGTTGGTGGTGGAGCACACCTTTAATCCCAGCACTCAGGAGGCAGAGGCAGGAGGATCTCTATGCGTTTGAAACCAGTATGGTCTACAGAGTGAGTTCCAGGACAGCCAGGGCTGCTATATAGAGAAAACCTGTCTTGAAAAACAAAACACAAAATAAAAACCCAAAAAACAAAACCAAAAACAAAGACGGTGTCATTGAAGGTCTTGTAGACACAGGGGCAGATGTAGAAATAATTGCAACAGGTTCTTGGTATCTAAATTGGCCTCTTCAGGAGGTAAATGTTCAGCTTTAAGGGATTGTAAGTTTATCCCAGGTAAACAGAGCTCAAGAAGGTTCGAATGTATAGGGCCAGAAGGACAGGGAGGAATATTAAGGCCATGTAGTGAGATAGTCCGTCTGTGGCACTGACCACGCCCATTGGGGGGTGGAGCCATGGGCGGAGGGACCTGTGGAAGGAGGTCGGAGGGGGCCAGGAAAGACTCTCTTTCTGGCATGACTTGGACAGGAGAGGATCGGGTTGAATTTCCTGGTGTTCAT